CACCACATGCACTAACGGCTGTCTGCGAAGATGGTTTGATGGGCGGTTGACCCAAGGTTCGCCAAATCTTTTTCGACAGAATAGTGATATCTGATTCAGTGTCCAACTGCAATCGAACTGACTGACCATTGATTGAGAGGGTTAGAAATTTGCGTCGCGTGGCGGCATGAGTGTGAAAGACTGCTGCTAAACTCCTTGATGAGGGAAGCTGCTTTTTAGTATAACGACGTTGCGTCTGTGCATTTCGACGACTATTGGGTCGATGGGATTGGCAAAAACCGCTTTTGTGACCAACCTTATGACAGCGATCGCACAGCTGCTGTTTGAATGGACAAAATTTCACGTAATGCCAAGCTCCACAGTGCCAACATGGAGAGGGAGGCTTCTTCTGAACCGGTCTGGAGTGATTAGAGAAAGAAGGAGCACTGGCTTTCGTAGGACTACAAGTTGTCGATCTCGGAGATTTGTTCTGACGTTGGACAGCGTGAACTTCGGAACCACCCTGGCCCCCAGTTTGGAACAAAGTGGTGTCACGCTGCAGGTTGATAATGCGTTGATACTCGTCGGTGATTGCATTAAGTGTCAGCGTTGGGTCTTGTTCAAGGCGGTTCAGCAATCGAGTTCTGATGTCGGAGAATTTGGGTGACTGAAGACTACATATGAATACGAGGGATTTGAATTGGTCGTCGGTAAGGGATTTGAGCTTAAACCGTTCGCACTCACGGTTGACAATGCCAATATGGGTTAGGAAGTCATCGGACTCGTTCATGACCAGTTTTAAACAGCGATAGCGAGTATTGAAGAGTGAATGATGGTCACCAAAAAGTTGGCTGAGAGTTTGAACAGTGGCATCGAAGGAACGGTCTCGTGGGTTCTGCGGTAGAATGAAGTTGCAATACTTATCAAGCTCTGATGGACCAAGTTTTCGAAGAAGAAGACGCACCTTCCACGAATCATCTCTGTCAGCAAGGTCGACTTTAAAAAAGACCTTCATAACGTCTGAACCAGGTATCAAATGTAATATTGGCATCAGGATCATAAAGAAACTCTGAAATACCACTGGTAATACCGTCGACTGATTGAGGGATTGTTGGTGTACATGAGACTCGAGAAGAAATCTGCGTCTGAGTAAACATCTCCATCAGCTTCAGCTGTTGCTTGAACAATTCTTCTAATTTAACTGGATCCATAGCTAATCAGCAACTTGTTTGCAAAATCTCCGTCTCCAAATAGTTAAGTCGCGAAATTATTGCGTATTACGATAAGACTACACGTAATTCTGACGGTTGACCAAATTCAGATATCCTAGTTCGACCCCAATACTGTTACCCAACTCCAATAAACCAGAACACAGCCGTCAAATGAGAATTGTTTATGGGGTCAGCAGCAGAACAAAAATGGTTTACAGACAAGGCATATTTATACAGTTACGATGACTATTAACAGTAACCAATGGAAAGGAAGGACACGTAAAGGTTATAATTAGGACAACTCAAAATTGACCAATAGGGAAACGACACATGAAAGTCATAGTTAGGACAACTGTAATAATGGCCAATAGGAAATAACATGTAAAATATGTGAAGAGACTGAAAACATGCCAATTTACATGCGAGATAATTTTTGGGATATTCCTGTGAATATCCTAACATTATAGTAATTTCAATAGTTGAGATCATGAGTAAACTAAAGCTAGACCACCATGGAAAACCTGGAAGTACCGTTTCGTCCTATTGTGGGACTCCTTAACAATGCGCATCCACGATCCCGCTTCGCGAGATTCGAACCCAGGACCTATCAGTCTCGCGCGCGAAAGCTTAACCCCTAGACCACTGAGCTGGTATCCAACGGTGTTAATGTCTAACTTCAACCGATTCGCAAAATTGAGTGACTGGCTTCAAGAGGTATTTCCTGGAGTACTAGTGAGAAGCAGTGACCAATGGAGTCCAACTGGGTCTGTTGTGAGATAGTAACTCACTGAAGTCTGTAGTATATGTGTAAAGAAGTGCTTCCACGTTTTCCATGGTGGTCTAGCTTTAGTTGACTCATAATCTCAACTGTTAAAAATATCATAGATTGACTGAAATTGTAAAACTATACCATTTAAAATTCCAACTCGATGAATTAAAGATAAATCACTCACTGTGGGACCGGATTTGTTCAGGACTGAACTACACTTATTTAGTTATTTACTTTATAACAAAAATGTTCATACAATAGAACACTAAAAAATGATCCACAAAAGTTAAATTATGCATCTTTGGTGATTGCTAATTGATGTGCTGTCAACTTCATAAGTGGTTTCACTGCTATTATACTTCACGCAGAATAATACCTCAGATGAATTGAAACATCTTCCGGCAGTTACCAGATATATATCATACTGTTTCCAACTAAGATGAATGTTCCATGAAACATTTACAATCCTCTATTAGGTGTCTTGTAAGATTTAAGATACTTTCCTTTTAGCAGTGTTTATAGGCTACTCCACATAACAATTATGTGAATGCTTCCCATTTACATCATAATACATCTTCAGTTGATATTGATTTAATAATACAAACGAACAGTTATTAGGACGTGTGATTTCTCGAGTCCGATATAGGTACACAAATTTCCTATATACAAGCTTTCAACCAGCTACTAAATGAGATGACCAAAAGTGGGAAATGACATTTATTGGACTAAACCCATTCACAAGCATAAGTATTCATATATATATATATATATATATATATATATATATATATATATATATATATATATATATATATAACAGTATGTTTATATCTTAATCTCACTTTATAATATTAATTAAGATCGTATAAAACGCAAAATCATGTTTAAGTTCAATGTGATATCTTTAATATGGATATGTAGTATAATATTCATTTAGCGTAACTTTCTGTCCAATCATTTCATCATGAAATTATCAGTATTTGCAGTTACACCTGACATTCATTGACTAACCGTCAGATATCAGTACTCGTTTGCTTTTCTTGTTTGAAGAGTAAATAATGTCCTCATATTGCCATCTATCGTGTATCTTCTATCTCCTGCTTAGCGCCATTATCAATTCCCTACTCTTGAAGTTGACTTCCCACAGTTTTAACGGACAATAGCATCAAGTCAAGTGGTCTTGTGTAAATTATTTTATATTGAATGTGATATTCATTATGGATTAACTTACTTTAAGATGAGTTAATGAAGTTTTATTAAGGAGTCGTGAATTAAATCATATCATAAGTAAAGCAGTCGTTATTAAAAGAATTGGATGAGCATTGAATAATGTCACGAGTTAGTTAAAGCTATAAATGTAAACCATTGGTCATCAACTCAGTGGTTTCCAGAATAAACTCTCTTGCGGTCTGAAGATCTTGCAATCGATCCCTGGTGTGTTCGTAGGTAGATACCACTAGAGAGTCACATGAAATATCTGTCTGATATTCCCCTGTTTTCAATAGCTTTACTATTTACGTACTTGACATTCAATCACTAGGTCATATGTGTTATCTTCCCTTTGCACTGTGTACATCTTCATTTTCCCCAGGTTTCAAGTGTTATTTCTCAGCAGTTATATCGACGTTTTTATCTCCGTATATATATTAAAAGCCTTGTCATTACTCCGTATTGTTTATTGATCGTTTCAACTATTTGTCTTGTACTTTATGTTTCATTTTTGACCATATATATGCATGCGTAAACACATATGAGTGTTTACGAATTGTAATGCGCATAACTCTGTACTTGTAGCTAAACAATAATGTCAAGTGTATTTTACGTGTAAAATCACTTGTTGTTTGATTATAGAATATTTAGTTGTATGTACTACACCATATGGAATATTTGTTCTGTCTTCGTTTTTACATTTTTATTGATTTTAATTATGTACAAATAATTTATTCATTTATACGTTGATTTTGTTTAATTGTTTTCATTATTTAAGAATATTAAAGCTGTATATTTGTGTAATAATAATAATAATAATAATAATAATAATAATAATAATAATAATAATAATAAGAAGAAGAAGAAGAAGAAGAAGAAGAAGAAGAATAGTAAACATTAATAATAAAAATAGTTTAAACATTTATTATATCATGTTATTGTGACCTTATACTTTCAACTACAAACTGTCTGTTTCTTCCTTCACATAAAATTGTGGTTCATTATGCAATTGACGAGTGATTAGACTATACAGAATTCTCAATTGTACTTTGTAGCCCTTAGGAAACTCTTCCACTCTTAGTCCTTAAATGGAAAGCAAGGAGATATGTTTAGGATTTTGTGACCTTGAAATCCTGAAAAACATTCTAAGATTGGCAGTAAATCCATTAAAATCATTCAATCAAGGTCATGAAAGCATAATCAGTTGTTTCCTAGATTTTTCGTAAAAATTTCTAACGATAGGTCTGATTGATTGAAGTATGTTCAGCATTTTCTCAGATTCAGAAAGTTTTTTCTGATGACTTACCAAGAACACTCAAAACACATTGATCTACGTCTTTATATGATAAAATTTTCATTTTACAATTGTACCTTTTTATATTATGTACTATGAGATTCAGTTCATTCCAACATTTTATTATCCAACTAATGTGGAGAGAAAAAACTGTGAAGTGTTATTTTTTAAAACTGTATAGTAACGTTTACAATAGTTTATCAGACAGACATGAACACGTAATTAATAATAAAAGCTTTGTTCAAACGGGCAATTCCCACACTAATTGTACCCCTGTCCAAACATATCACTAGGGTGTGTCTTGGAGACACTGTGACCTCTCCAACTTTACCCGACGTATCACCTCAGGAAACTTCCCACCATTATAATTCTCAATATCTAGATCATGGACATTTGAATTACGCCATTTTAAAATACATTTACTGAAGTAACGTATTGAATACTTCAATGATTACTACTTGTATATGTGTTACATAATATCCAAATTACTGTACACTGGTTTGTTTATATTGTTGTTGTTTTTTTTATATACCCACAGGTCTTAAACTTTCACTCACTCCGTAAAACAGCTGACTTGAATAAAGCTCCCGTATAAACAACATACTTATCTTTGTTGTGTATAAAAGTAAAATTCTCGCAAACATTCTGACACAAAATTACGAAATTCAGTCACTAAAGTTATATAGTGATTACGGTTACTTCCAGTTTCAACTGTTCAACTCTACGTTATGCATACATACTACATTACACTTGGACAGCTCACTTTCATATGTTTATCTGTATCTTTTCTTTTCTGTTATATAATATAAACTACTCTCTATACAAGTAGTTTGTTCTTTTAGAGACAATTTTATTTTATTTTTCAGATATTCAGATTCGTTTGACTGATTTTTGACCTTTTGGTTTTCTATTATATAATATATATACTTCTTCATATTTGGATTTTATGGAGCTTCATATCCTTATACATATTACATGGAATTGTACACATTTGAATTACCATATTATAAAGAGCTATTACCAGTTGTAGTAGTTTTTATTTTGCGTCACATCTGGTTCACATATTTTGGGTGGGGGAAACGTGTGTTGATATATTGTCTCCTGTTTATATTCTCTGCTTATATTGCTGCTATATAATATCTGTCAGTTTGAACCGCTTTCATCAATTCCATATGATGATGCTTTGTAGACAAATGCAGTGTAAGAAAGTTATCACATAAGGACGGAAATGTGAATCGTTGCCGGTTGTAAACTCAATAATTTCAAGGTAATGTAACAAGTACGGTGCCTGATGGTTGTCCTGAGTCCTATTTTTAGCGGGGTAGATACCCACATTTAAGGAATTCGATATTCGAACGATGTACTCATTCAGTGAACCCTGGTTTTTTAGTGGTTCTCTAGCTATATCCAATCTCTCAAATACTTCATGATCGAAGTCTGTCGTTCGGTTTTTCTTATCGTGAATCAGTTCAAACTGACTAAAAAGGATCGTGTTTGAACGTTGATGGGTTCATGGGCGCACACTAGTGTGGGGTCCTATGCTAGAATGCAACAACTGCTCAGTCATTCCGGGTTTGACTGAGATTAGTGAGTAGTCCAAACTACATTGTTCAACACTATCCAAGAACCGCTTAGACTGATATTTAATAAGTCGTTATCTACATATTATGGTAGTAGGACGACTATCCTCTAGCCATTAAATTACTTGATTCAGAGTTTCCGACACTTCTATAAATACGGTTTGGGCAACTACATCAAAACGTCTACTTCAAAATTGAGTAAATGGGACCTGTATCACTATACAGGTTATTAGGTCCCACCGCCATCATAATAATCCCAACTACATGAAGTGTAGGAAACTCGATATTACGATGGACAGTCTGAAAATTATCTATGGTGTGTGTAGTTCAAATCAATAATTTTATTAGCCAAACAATACTTCATTCACACATATCTGACAATCGAGTTCCTCGCATCAATGATGATAGTTATTACTATAGATTTATTCAATACTTTAAATTTCGTAATAGTAAGGAAATCTTAATACTATGGAGTACTGTGATGAAGTTCCTCTTAACATACATTCAATATGTAATTATCCCTGTAAATTTGTAACTTGCAAAATGGCCTCAACAGTTAATATCCACCACCGATCTATTATTTTAGCTGCTAATATTTTTTTCACCCACCAGAGATATTCATTGAACGAGTTCCAATATGGTCAACTCTCTTCTCTATAAAAAATAAACTGGGAGAAAAAATGCCAAAACTATAGTGTTTCTGTTAAAGTCTTCTAGTATATGCCATTGTAAGAAGTTGTAAGATTTACGGTTAGCAAATCGAAAAGTAGCAAGGTGTATTGAACTATATGGAGTCGACTGACGTAAATAGCATCCAATTATTAACGATATTTGTTAGCATATTTAGGACAATAAGAGTTGTCAGTTTGATAGATACACTAAATCACGTGAAATTTATCTTTTTGAGACCTAATCCTAGGTCAGTCAGAAATAAAGCCGAAGATAAGGAGCACTAGACATCTGTTTTGCACAATCTCTATGCTACCAGAGGTCGAACCGGAGTTATCGATTTGTTATAAATACAACCTATAGACTTAACTAATCTCCACAGAAATAATTGTAAGACAAAAAATCAATGTGAATTATCATCTATAGCTATATTTAGTCAATACTGTTTACAATGCAATGGAAAATTCATAGAGTAGTAGTAGCAATGAAGGTAGTCGCATAAATAAATGCAATATTCTCAAGTGTTTTTATAGAAAAAGATTGTTCTATGAAATATAATAACAATAGTCGTAATATAGATACATAAAAACTGTGTATTTTTAGCGACAGTTTCCAGTTGTGTATCATTCAGTTATTTTATATACATATTTGTAAGTTATATTCGTCACAAATCTATTTCAGTTTTGATACCATCGAGTTCATGTTCAACCGTACAATTCCATCTTCAGTCGGTTTTCAACATAGGACTGTGATTATTTAATGGGAGTGGTTACGGCTGTTTAACAGTCAGCAAATCTGAGTCCACCACCTAGAACTTTTCACTGGAATCTAAGAAACATCCTGAAGTGAATTACTAGTGAGATGGCTTTCATAATCTATTTGAAGGAGATTATGGAGATTGGTTTAATTTGTTCTCATTGTCATACTATACCTTGAATCGATTATAAGAGAAATTCTGTCAGATGCCAACTCAGTGGTTCTAAAGGTTAAGCGCTTATTGTGAGACATGAAGTTCCTGAATCCGACTCCTAGCTGTAGTTCATGAGTTTGGACCGCTGAAGAGTTCTATACTGGTATGAAAGATCTGAGTACTCCCTCGATCTCAATGCTAACCCATTTGAGATCAACATGTGAAGAATTCGACCTGAAAATTTGATCGAATTTTTTCCAATCTTACTAAAACCCTTTTAATTATGTACAGACTGTTTGGAACCCGTCTCAAAAATACGTAGCATTTTCTTTCTCTCAAATCAGCTCATTTTACCCTTCCAAACGGTCTACTTTCGTTATGTTAAGTGCTTCATAAGGAAAACTTCATTTTCAATGTCCTTGGTTTGAACCTATGTGTTATAATTGTATTTTTGCTATATAAACGACCCAGCTATTCCTATTGCTTAGTATTCTTATACAATGACACTCGACAAGACCCCAAAATCAGAACACGTTGAACAGGAATCAAATTGTATTCAAAGTAATAATGATAAGTGAACAGCAATCACTAGTTTAAATAACGTTCATATATTTATAGTATATACAAAAGAAACTTATAGATTTTTCTGCAATAATATGCCCGGGCTGATCGGTTTAGAATTAACCAATCAGCGCGCAGCAACACCATCATGCATAAAACATGCTTAATCCAATCTATATCCCACTAACACCATGTGAAATCCTCTTGCGTTTTCCCTTAAGGTTTACCAAGTCTAGGATGAAACAGTTGTCCAATGCTACATGTTTTGTAATCATTTTTTATAACTGATATGAGCCCGTAACCAAAATTAAAGTCAGTCCGTTTTCCGTTATTTGAACTGGTATCTTAGCTGTAACATATACATCGCTGTGTTTTTCACATATCTACTTTTTTCTAGAAAATTTTCAGTTGCTTAGTCAACAAGTAATCAAATTTATAGAAAATTGATTTCTTAGAAATTATATTATTGACTTCGCCTTGTGAATCCCTTTTTCATTTAATTCATTATTTTGTGAAAAACCAAAGCTCGATAAGAACTAAAGGACTAAAGTTTTCCTTCCCAATTGTCTGTTAAGAACATGTCAAAATGCATAACACAACTTCAATAAAAGTTGAGAATCGCAATGAAAATTACACTCTAATATATAGCATGGAACACTGAGTAGATGTTTCGTCCTAGAGTGGGATTTCTTGGAATTTCCACATCCATGATTCACAACTAAAGATTGAAACCAGAATTTACATGTATCATAGTGTTAACTTAGACATTAAACCAAAAAGTCATAATGGAATGGTACATGTTTCCAGCTTCAGACAGTCTATAAGATAAAATAACAATCATTCAGTGCCTTTGGTGATGACTGTTTCATTTTTGACATGATTTAACATCACTCTTATCAAAACGTTGCATTAGAATTCCAAGAGTTCATCCCCAAGTAAGTCCATAATGCTTAAGAATTAGAGTTGTTTTCAATAAACCTAGTCTGAAACTGTTATAGTGATAAATATTTACTTGTAAATATTCATTGATTGACTCGAGTTAAGCTAGTCAATATTTAGTCATATTCATTCGGAAGTAAATTTCTGTAAAAACCAAACTATTATTTAACATTCATAGACCTTATTCATTTGTTTTACTCCATTGACAATACGTTTATAACGAAATGTATTTGATATGGTAAGTGAAGCTAAACAAATTACATTCTGTCTTAAGATTATACAATTGTAATGTACATTTTTGGAGGAGCTACCATCAATAGATAAATCATTCATCAGCCTACAATCACTGCTCACATTGTCTTCTGTGTGACAATTCAGCTATATCTATAAAGATTATTGTTTTCGGCTTTATGTAATAACTTTGTTCCATCAATCGACATCTCTCCTTACTGCACAGCTAAAAAGTCAAGCATTAGAAAAGTGTATAATGATGAAAATTCACTGAAGAATATAACAATTCCATGTTAACAGTAGTAGTAGTAGTAATAGTGCATGTATTGGCGGTTGTGGTAGTAGTATTAAATTATCAAGTAAAACATGTCTCTGGAGTTCATGGTTTATAGGTACTGACAGTATTTAGAAGGACATAGTATTGAACTCATCATCTATTTTGGATCTTTTAACAACAACCAATTAACCATAACGCTTTTGCTCAGTATTGTATCAGAAATTTTGTATATCTGTCGCAAACTATAAGATGTATTGCATAGTTGTTTTATATTTTATTTGCATAATCATGTGAGTTATGGGTCTGAATAATCAAATGGTACTATTATCATTCGTTTGACCTAATGGTATTCTGATATATTCATCATTTGTTTATAAAAAGTACAGTAACAGA